ATATATATATATATATATATATATATATATATATATATAAGTTTATAATAGCCTCTAAACGATATCTAATTAATTACTAGTAAATTAAAGCTCTTTTCTTGATCTCATTAGGTATTTTTTAAAAAATTTAATCCTTCACGTTGGAGCACGAGCACACTTTTATTTATGAATTAAAATTATATAAACTTTATGTATAATGTAGAATTATTTAAATAATTAGGTCGCTTATTAAGTAATCATAGGTTAATTTTTTATTAAGTATTAGTTATTGGTAATGTGGTAACTTATAACGTGGTATATAACACATATTATTAAACTTCTCTACTTGCATTTTAAAAAGAAAAAACCTTTAGGTACACTTATTAAAATGAATTTGATTATTACATATATAGATAGTGTACGTAAAGATTTTTGATATGTGATATCACATTAGTTACCTTTTTACCACATCATCAACTATAATAATATATTTAATAAAATTCACAAGTTGAATTTATATCCAGTGAAATTCACAAGTCGAGTTTGGGTAGGGTAGAATGTATGCAGACCTAACAACTACCTCGTGGAGATAGAGAAGTTGTTTTTGAAGACCTTCGATTCAAGCGCAACAAATTTAGGTACAAAAAAGAAGACAGTAAAGAAAATATAACAGATAACAAGATCGCAAGACCAATTAATAATAAGTAACCTAGTTAATAAAATATTTCTTCATTAGAAGTGCATATAATTTTAATTACAAGTGTTTGATTAACAATGTAAAAATAACTAGAATGAAGAGAGAAGACAAGATGGACCTATTTTTACTTTTAGCAACTATATACTAAGTAGCACATATAAATTAACCAGGATAAGAACTCAAAGTTATAGTAAATAAATAAATAAAACAGAAGCTGAATTAAAATATTATAAAGAGTATATATTATGCACGTGATGATGAGGATAATAGGACTAGGTCCTATATATTCCAATTTTTTTTTTTTTTGAAGGAAAAAAAAAGATGATGATGATATAACTAATTAATGTATATTATTGCTTAATTCTATATTAAGTTCTTCCTTATCTTAAAAGCATGTTCTAAGTTGAATGCATATATATATCATAATAACCATTTGTCTTAAAATTGATTCTCTAAACAACGAGAAGAAAAAAGTTGGAATTTCTAATTAATGAACAATTCTTTTTTGAAAGACAGGATCAAGAAATGATATGATAAGGTAAAATATACAAAATATTCATTAGCATTAAAGCATATTCTTTTTCAATGTATTTCTAATGTTCAAAGGAGAATATATATGTTGGAAAACTTTAATTAATTTGTGTGGTATATATGATTAATGTAATCTTCTTCTTAATTACTTTCCCAGATTTCTTCTAATTTTCATCCTTTTTCTGTAACGTCCAAGTTAGGTCATAGGTACAACTTGTAACTTTAATTTATTTAATATTATATATAGTTGAATATGAATTAATTCCATACTATGACCTCATTGCCATCGTCTTAATTTATAATATAATGCTTATGGTGGCTGAATCTTATCATTGTAGTAAAGTAACAAAGCTACTTTTTTTAATATTAACTATTAAGATTATTGAATCATGTTTTGAAATATTGCTTAAAGAATAAAAATGAGAACACAGAATATGTGCCACCCCGTTCATATTGTCAGTCCCTAAAACAATCTTTATAGAATACAAATTTTATTTAAAATAAAAATAAAAATTTATATCCGATTAACCGTAAAAATTTTTAATAATTTGACTCTAAAAGATGATTTTCCCTATGGCTTTTTCCTATCTTGCTCAGGAGTTAATTGAGTTTTCATTCAGTATAATAATGCTACTAATAGAAAAACAGAAGAATAATTAAAAGTTCAAGCCCTTTAATTTGTTATTAGCCACTCCACCTTTTTTAATTCCTAATCATGGTTTGTAAACTTTTTGCAAGAGTTTTCTATTAATATTTTATTTTATATACTATGATTATTTTTAGAAGGGAGTTTCGGAGTAATAATAAAGTATTATTTTTGTATATTAGTCTTTATTTCGAATTTTTGAAATAGTTTATCATTAATATTTGCATTAAAATAGACTGTCTACATCACACACCTTATGATACGACCTCGTGTGCATCGTATTTTTTTATAAAATATAATATGATTACTTAGTCCCAACGTATGATAATGATTTATGGATAGTACTATCTCACGATGTTTTTTGTTTTTGTTTTAATTTTTGGTTACTTAGTCCCAACGGATGATAATGATTGATAGATAGCAAGTGTTTAATGATGTTTTGATTTTATTTATTTATTTATTTATTTATTTATTTATTTATTTCCTATATGTCTTTGCTTTTCTATTAAAAAGTTGATCCCACTTGCAAATTTTAGCTT